GCATGGCTAGTTAGTGCATGGTCTCTAGAGCATGCAGCTTGAACCTCAGGTCCAAGATCCAAATGGTGTGGGAGCTACGACGTATCAACTTTTGCCCCAAGTACGAGTTTCGTGAGCATTTTCCCATAAAAGCACATGCTCTTCCTACCTTTGTCGCACTTTTCCACCAAATTGTATGCCATTTATTTTGCATGGCTAGTTAGTGCTAGTTAGTTTTTGCATGCGTGGTTAGTGTATGGGCTATTGATCTTGCTGGCCTGTGCTCGGATGCGAAACCCAGGTGTGTGGGAAGTTATGGTATCTCAAGCGCTTTTGCATGTCCAAGTTCTTGAGTGGTACCCCACCAAACAACAACCTGTTTTTTCATTTAGGATCTTGTTCACTAAAACTCTTTCCCTTTGCATACATAGCTAGTGTATGGCCTCAAGAGCATCATGGCTTGTGCTCATATCCAAAATCCAAGTGGTTGGGAAGTTATAGTATGTCAACTATTGTCCTCTGTCCAAGCACTTGAGCATTGCCCAACAAAACCTTAACTTTTCATTTCGTTTTTAAGATACTGAGAAATTTCTAAGCCCTTGTTTTGCAGGAACATTTAGTGCATGGGCTCAAGATAATCGTGGCTTGTGCTCAGATCCAAAACCTAATTGTGCAAAGAGTTATGGTATTGTATGTGTTCCTTTTTTCCAGTTCTTGAGCGTTTTCCTACGAGTCCTCAACTTGGTTATCTTGCTAGGCGACCCGACCCAACGGGCGCAAGGAGGCCGGCAGGAACAGGCGATAGGCGCTGCTGTCAACTTATACATATTATCTATGTAGAAGTTATTAGTTAGACTAGGTGTGTGCTTCTAGTGAGTACAACCAACTGGTATTTGTTCTATGTTTCTCTTCCTGGTCAATTCATTCGTTCTTACGTTAACATGGTATCACGCTTAGGTTAGGATTCCCCCGCCCACCGCTTCCACCCATGCCCTAGCCTAGACCCCCGTCACGCCCCCCTGGGCCCCTTCGCGCCCGCTCGGCCCCCGTCGCGCCTCCTTGGCCCTGTCACGCCCCCCTGGGCGCCGTCGCGCCTCCTAGGCCCCGTCGCGCCCCCCCTGGGCCCCTTCGTGTCCGCTAGGCTGCCGTCGCGCCCCCTGGGCCCCTTCGCGCTCCCTAGGCCCCGTCGTGCCCCCTTCAGGCCCCTTCGCGCTCGCTAGGCCCCGTCGCGCCCCCCCCCTGGGCCCCTTCGCGCTCGCTGGGCCCCGTCGCGCCCGCGAGGCCTCTCCCAGCGCACGCCTGCCCGGCCTCTTCCTAGCGCCGCCCGGCCTCCTCCTAGTGCCGCCCGGCTTCCTCCTAGTGCCGCCCGGCCCCTTCCTAGCACCGCCCGGCCTCCTCCTAGTGCCGCCCGGCCCCTACCAGCACTCGCCCGGCCCCAGAGTACCCGCCCGGCTCCTCCTAGCGCCCGCCCGGCCTCCTAGCACCCGCCCGGCCTGTCGCGCCTGCCCGCCTCCCAGCGCCGGCCCGGCCCCTCCCACTGCCCGCCCGGCCCGTCCTTCTGCCCGCCCGGCCCGTCCTTCTGCCCGCCTGGGCCCTGTGTCTTCTGCTCGCCGTCGCTGGGGCGCCTCGCAGCTGCCCTACTGGAGAGTGCTGCCGCCGTGTCCCCGCGCCGCTGTGCTCCTGCGGTGCTGTGGAGCGGTGCCGCTGTGACGCTGAGGAGCTGTGCCCTGTGTCGCTGAGGAGCTGTGCCGCTGACTCTGTACGATGGCTGATTTCGTGCTCCGACTGGACGCTGAGGGCCACGCGGTTGACTTCGCTGCCTGGCTCTCCGATCTCCGCCGCCAGCTTTCAGGTCAGCGCCAGGATGGCCACTCTTTGGTTGTCCATGCTGATGGCTTGCTCCCCCGCCCCCCTGCACCTGCTCCCCTCCCTGCTGACCCCTCCTCTGATGACCGTGAGGCTTTCTCTACTGCTGCGTTGGCCTGTGCGGCCTGGGACTCACGCGATGCAGTAGCTCAGGTTGCTATTAGTCACGCCCTCCCTGTGTCTGAGCGCTCGCGCTTTGCTACTGTTGAGACGGCCAAAGCTTATTTAGACGTCGTTATTGCTCGCTATTCTTCCCCTGCCTCCGCTTCTGCTGGCCGCTTGCTCTTTCCGATGCTGTTCCCAGACCTTGCTACCTTCCTACTGTCGCAGACTTTGCCACTCACTTGCGTGCCCTAGAGACTCGCTATCGCACTGCCAGCACTGCTGCCCAGCTCACTGCGCTCCCCGCTCCTTTCTGCATGACGCTCTATTTTATCGCCATGCGCCTGCCGGACCGCCTTGCTAGTGCTCGCGACCACTTCCTTAGCTAGCACCCGGGTGACCTCACCCGGACCGCCTTTGTCAACACCCTCATTGAGATCGAGACTCGCCAGCGCACTATCGCTCAGTCGAGCGGTGCGCCGGCAGTCTCTATCTTTCACGGCTGTGCACCCTCCCAGTGCACTTTCGCTGACGTTTCGGCTGCGGTCGCCACGGCGACCCAGCGGCACCCCCAGGCCCGCCGGGACACGCCATACCAGGAGCCGCAGGACGAACACACTCCTCAGCGCCAGCACCCCCAGAGGCCAAGAGCGGCAGCGGCGGCAGCACCGGCGGCGGCGACGACGGCTGCGACGGCGGCAGCGGCGGCGGCGGCGACGACTGCGACAGCGGGGCCGGAGACACCAGGGAAGGGGGACGCGGCAAAGGCGGGGCGGGGGGAACACCAGAGTCAGCAGACTCCTCAACAGGGACAACTGACGGGAGGGGAGTGACATGGGAGACACCAGACGGGGCAGGACGCGGCGGGAGGGGAGGAGGGGCTACCGAGGGAGAGGGGGCAAGGAACAGGGGGGGGGGGAACCGGGAGACCTCGGTGAGGGAAGCGACGGTAGAAGGAGACGGACTCGTCAAAGGTGACGTCACGAGAGTGGAGGAAGCGGTGAGACTGCGGGTGGTAGAAGAGCCAGTCAGATGAGTCAAGGGGGAAACCAAGGAAGACACAGGGGACAGTGCGGGCAGTGAGCTTGTCCGTGCCAGAGGCACGAACGTGAGCAAGGCAGCCCCAGACGTGGAACGCAGACGCGTCACCGGGGGATCCGGTCCAAAGGAGGGTCGGCGAAACCTGTGGCCGCTGGGAGCGTGGCCACAGGTTAAGCTGGTGAGCGGCGTAGCGAACGGCGAACGGCCACAGAAAATGGGGTGCACTGGCATGGATCATGGAGGTTGCGAGCCACCTCTATGACCAAGCCGATGCGGCGCTCAGCAACCCCATTCTGCTGTGGCGAGTCCGGCAAGGTGTACGACTGGGTGATGCCCTCCGCACGACAGAACTGTCCAAGCCGACCAGAAGCGAACTCTCCGCCACGGTCAGAGTGGAGACACAACACGGGGAGACCGCGGTGAAGACGCGCAGCCACAACCCACAGGAGAAGAACGTCGGGCACATCGGCCTTCCGCTCCAGGGGAAACACCGTGGTGTAGCGCGTGTAGTCGTCGACGAGCACAAGAAAGTAGCGCTCGCCACGCGGTCCGGGGACAGGGGCTGGGCCCCAAACGTCCAGGTGCAGGGTCTGAAGGGGAGCAGTAGCAGGGCGAAGCGAGGAGGAGTGAGGGGCACGGTGGAGCCGGCCCTCGATGCAGGGCGTGCACGGTGGAGCAGGCGAGAGGGGAAGGGCGGGGAGCGACGCGGGGAGGCCTAAGACAAGACCGTGCTGGGACATGTGACACAGACGCGGGAGTGTAGGGTGACCTAGGCGGTGGTGCCACAAAAGGGACGGGTGAGTGAGAGACCGATACGAGCAGGCTGCAGCGACCTGGGAGGATGCACCAACCGGGGGGGAAGCGGTGTCTAGGGTGAACAGTCCGGACACCGAGTCCCGGGGGAACGTAGCAAGGGGGGAACCTGAGACAGCCTCAAAACAGACAGCGAACCGCTCGTGCCCAAGGAACGCCGAGGTCCTGAAGACAGCCGACACCAACCAGGTTCCTCGAGAACGAGGGAACGTGGAGGCCTGTAAGAGAGCCCGAGGGAACTGCTGGACAGAGAAGGGACGTGGAACTGCGAGCGACGATGGGACCCGCAGAGGGGTCAGCGAGAGAGACAACAGCAGGCGCAGCAAGCGGCGTAAGCGTGGAGCGGTCGCGGAAGAAACAGGCAGAAGCACCGGAGTCGAGAGTGAAGGACAGCGAGGCAGTGGCGGAGGCTGGCAACGGAGCTGGTGCAGAACCTACGCTAGGCAAACTAGGCAGTACTACACCTGACACAGCAGGGGAGGCTAAGCTATACAAGGGTGAGACACCTAAACTAGAGTACACAGGGTAATAAGATCCAGCAACACTAGAAGCGTCAGCATACAAAGCATGCAAAGCAGCACCTATCTGATCCATATCTAACTCAAAGATCGGCACGCCCTGGCGAAGCAGGTTTTGCCAGTCGGGGAGGTCCGGGGCCGGGCCAAAGCGACGACGAAAGAGATCGTCGAGGCGGCGGAAACAGCGGGCGGTCGGGTGCGGGCGGCGGCACAGAGTGCCGCGGAGAGGCCCGGTCTGAAGCTGGTACTGGCAGGTCACAGCACTGGAGCTGCCGGTAGATGCCAAGCTGCGCGGGCCACCACCTCGGCCACCACCGCCGGAGGTGCCGGGCCAACCAGGTGGGAGACGAGCCCACGGCTGCGACGGCTGCTGCTGGGACGGCGGCGGCTAGTGCTGGGGCTGCTCCGGCTGCGAAGGCGACTGCGTCTGCTCCTGCCCACCGGTGGTAGTCCCCTCAGGTGGACTACCGTAACCACCACCATTACCACCACCACTAGTGCCACCACCACGACCTCCCTGGCGGCCATGGCCACCGCGGCGCGGACGCTGCTGCGGGTGGACCGCAACTGCCGTCTCGGTAAGAGGGGTCGCAGTGGCGACCGCAGCCGAAACTTCAGTAAACGTGCATTGGGAGGGGGCACAGCCGTGAAAGATAGAGACTGCCGGCGCACCGCTCGACTGAGCGATAGTGCGCTGGCGCGTCTCGATCTCAGTAAGGGTGTCGACAAAGGCGGTCAGTGTGAGGTCACCCGGGTGCTGGCTAAGGTAGCGGTCACGGGCACTAGCTAGGCGGTCCGGCAGGCGCATGACGATAAAATAGAGGGTCATGCAGAATGGGGGGGGGAGCGCAGTGAGCTGGGCAGCAGTGCTGGCAGTGCGATAGCGAGTCTCTCGGGCACGCAAGTGAGTTGCAAAGTCTGCGACAGTAGGGAAGGCAACAAGGTCTGGGAACAGTATCGGGAAGAGCAGGCGGCCGGCAGAAGCGGATGCAGGTGTGGAATAGCGAGCATTAACAGCGTCTAAATAAGCTTTGGCTGTATGAACTGTAGCGAAACGCGAGCGCTCAGACACAGGGAGGGCGTGACTGATAGCAACCTGAGCTACTGCATCGCGTGAGTCCCAGACCGCACAGGCAAGCACAGCAGTAGAGAAAGCCTCACTCTCAGCGAAGGTGGGGTCAGCAGGGAGGGGAGCAGGTGCAGGGGGGCGAGAGAGCAAGCCATCAGCATGGACAACCAGCGAGTGTCCATCCTGGCGCTGACCTGTAAGCTGACGGCGGAGATCGGAGAGCCAGGCGACGAAGTCAACCGCGTGGCCCTCAGCATCCAGGCGGAGCACGAAGTCAGCCATCGTGCAGGGTCAGTGACACAGCTCCTCAGCGACACAGCGGCACAACTCAACAGCTTGGCAGGAGCACAGCGGCACGGGGACACGGCGGCAGCACTCTCCAATAGGGCGGCTGCGGGGCGCCCCGGCGCAAGCTAGCAGAGGACACGGGGCCCGAGGTGGCACGGCAGGCCGAGAAGGCACGAGGAGGGGCCAGGCGGGCAGGAGGAGGGGCCGGGCTGGCGCTGAAAACCAGGCAGGCGTGACAGGGCCGGGCTGGAGCTAAAAGGGGTCGGGCGGGCGCACTGGGACTGGCGGGCAGTAGGAGAGGCCGGGCGGCGCTAGGAAGAGGCCGGGCAGTTGCTGCTGGGGCCGGCTAGGAGCGGGCTCGACGGTCAGTGGGCCGGCCAGGTGCGGGCGCGACGGCCAGTGGGGCCAGTTAGGGGCGGGCGCGAACGGCCAGAGGGCCGGCTAGGAGCGGGTGCGAACGGCCAGGGGGCCAGCTGAGGGCGGACGCGACGGCCAGGGGGCCAGCTAGGAGCGGGCGCGACGGCCAGTGGGGCCAGCTAGGGGCGGGCGCAACGGCCAGGGGGCCGGCTAGGAGCGGGCGCGAACGGCCAGGGGATCAGCTAGGGGCGGACGCGACGGCCAGGGGGCCGACTAGGGGCGGACGCGACGTCCAGGGGGCCGACTAGGGGCGGACGCGACGGTCAAGGGGCCGACTAGGGGCGAACGCGACGGCCAGGGGGCCGGTTAGGGGCGGACGCGACGGCCAGGGGGCCAGCTAGGAGCGGGCGCGATGGCCAGTGGGGCCAGCTAGGGGCAGGCGCAACGGCCAGGGGGCCGGCTAGGAGCAGGCGCGAACGGCCAGGGGATCAGCTAGGGGCGGACGCGACGGCCAGGGGGCCGACTAGGGGCGGACGCGACGTCCAGGGGGCCGACTAGGGGCGGACGCGACGGTCAAGGGGCCGACTAGGGGCGAACGCGACGGCCAGGGGGCCGGCTAGGGGCGGACGCGACGGCCAGGGGGCCAGCTAGGAGCGGGCGCGACGGCCAGTGGGGCCAGCTAGGGGCGGGCGCGACAGCCAGGGGGCCGGCTAGGAGCGGGCGCGAACGGCCAGGGGGCCAGCTGAGGGCGGACGCGACGGCCAGGGGGCCAGCTAGGGGCGGACGCGATGGCCAGGGGGCCGACTAGGGGCGGACGCGACGGCCAGGGGGCCGACTAGGGGCGGACGCGACGGTCAAGGGGCCGACTAGGGGCGAACGCGACGGCCAGGGGGCCGGCTAGGAGTGGACGCGACGGCCAGGGGGCCAGCTAGGAGCGGGCGCGACGGCCAGTGGGGCCAGCTAGGGACGGGCGCGACGGCCAGGGGGCCGGCTAGGAGCGGGCGCGAACGGCCAGGGGGCCAGCTGAGGGCGGACGCGACGGCCAGGGGGCCAGCTAGGGGCGGACGCGACGGCCAGGGGGCCGACTAGGGGCGGACGCGACGGCCAGGGGGCCGACTAGGGGCGGACGCGACGGTCAAGGGGCCGAATAGGGGCGAACGCGACGGCCAGGGGGGCGGCTAGGGGCGGACGCGACGGCCAGGGGGCTGACTAGGGGCGGACGCGACGGCCAGGGGGCCAGCTAGGGGCGAACGCGACGGCCAGGGGGCCGACTAGGGGCGGACGCGACGGCCAGAGGGCCGGCTAAGGGCGGACGCGACGGCCAGGGGGCCGACTAGGGGTGGACGCGACGGCCAGGGGGCCGGCTAAGGGCGGGCGAGAGACGAGGGCGCGGGCGGAAGCGGGCGGGGGGACCTAACCTACTCGATACCATGTTAGAATAAGTGAATGATTACTAGAAGGAGAAACCTAGAACATATACATGTTGGGTTGTACTCACTAGAAGCACACACCTAGTCTAGCCTATAACTTTTACATAGAACATATGTATAAGTTGACACTTACAACTGAACTCAGAATTGCTATGAGGACATCTTGTGAACTGAAATTGTTGAACCTTTGCCCTAGATTGTTCGTCATTTAGGGTGTGGTACTTTTCCGGAAAATGAATAAGTTCGAACGCCAACCGCACTGAACCATAGTAAATCCGACGTAACCACACAGAATAGTGTACAACCTTTCTAAAAGTTCGAACTTCAGGCTTCGGTAAAAAATGTACCACGCCCTTACGCATGCTGTTTTGTCTATCTCATGCTATGTGTTTTTTTACAAGTGTGCACTTGTAACGTTCTGTCCAGTGCCCAGAGTTGTCGTCGTCGTTACCACTCGTTCGCTCGCGGTGGGCTACCACCACCAGATTGGGCATTTGCGATTTCCCAACCAACCAGCCATCTGAAGCTCCTCTCCTCGCGCGCTGTCCTTGAATGCGCCTCTCACGGCTTGCTCGCTTCCTCTTCCTCGTGCTTACCTCTTCCTCCCCCTAACTTAGCCGTCTCGCGCCACCAGGGCCGCGTCCTGCCGCCACTATGGTAGGTCTAGCTGCAGGTCAGGCCGCCCTTAACGCCACACCGCTTAGCGCTATAAGTTGTCGTTCCTGCGCGACTCGTTTGTTTAGCATCGATCGGAGTGCGCGGGACAGGCATCGCGCTTTTCTAATTGAGGAATTGTTTTATGCGTTGTGCGTGCTTGTGGGCGTTCGGCGTGCTTGTGGGCGTTCGGCGTGCTTGTGGGCGTTCGGCGTGCTTGTGGGCGTTCGGCGTGCTTGTGGGCGTTCGGCGTGCTTGTGTGCGGTGGTGTGTGCTTGTATGCGTTGTCCGTGCGTGCGTGTGTGCGGGTTTGGTTGGTAGGCGCTCGTAGCGAACGAGGGGTTTCAGCACATTCTGCGCGTGCTCAACACGAACGTGGACGGGCGCACCAAGATCATGTACGCGCTCACGTCCATCCGCGGTATCGGCCGCCGCTTCGCCAACATCGTCTGCAAGAAGGCGGACGTCGACCTCAACAAGCGGTACGCCCTGCTTGCACTCCTGCGTCCGATCTCTCCCGCTCACTGCATCTCTCACGCTCACTGCAGCTCTCACGCGCGCGGCATGTCTCTGCATCTCTCACACTTACTCCGTCCCATCTGCAGTGTTGACGGCGAAACGTTACTGGCTCAGGAGCACCGTTGCGTGGTGGCTTTTCCATTTTAGGGTTTCTTCAACATCTGTTGCGTTGGCCCTCACTGGTCCGCTAATGCCCGTGCTTCTGTGTCGTCCCTCTGCTTCTCGTGCGCGTGTGTGCGGCGGGCGCGCGGGGGCTGGCAGGGCGGGCGAGTTGTCGGCGGCGGAGCTGGAGAATCTGATGGTCATCGTGGGCAACCCGCGGCAGTTCAAGATCCCGGACTGGTTCCTCAACAGGCAGAAGGACCACAAGGACGGCCGTTTCTCGCAGGTGGTGTCCAACGGGCTCGACATGAAGATGCGCGACGACCTCGAGCGCCTCAAGAAGATCAGGTCCGTGCTCCCATGTCAATGTCGAAGCGCTTAGGTCCGTGCACCCATGTCGAAGCGGTTAGGTTCGTGCACCCATGTCGAAGCGGTTAGGTACATGCAGCGCGCTCAAGGCGCTTATGTCTCTCCGTTAACGTCGTCAACACGATCAGGTCGTTCCGTTAGGCAACGCATGCAGGTGTTCTGTTAGGCAACACGGCAGGTGTTCCGTCAGGCAACACGGGCAGGTGTTCCGTCAGGCAACACGGGCAGGTGTTCCGTCAGGCAACACGGGCAGGTGTTCCGTCAGGCAACACGGGCAGGTGTTCCGTCAGGCAACACGGGCAGGTGTTCCGTCAGGCAACACGAGCAGGTGTTCCGTCAGGCAACACGGGCAGGTGTTCCGTCAGGCAACACGGGCAGGTGTTCCGCCAGGCAACACGGGCAGGTGTTCCGGCAGACAACACGGGCAGGTGTTCCGTTAGGCTCGTTGGCATGCCAAAGTGGGTCCGATAGGCGCGTCAAGCTGTAGGAGGTGGGTGAGGCGTGCCATCCACGACGGGTGACCCGGCAAGCAGAGGGAGTGGGAGGTCGTCGTGCGCTTAGCGCAAATGCAGCTGCTCAGCTGCCCTGTCCGTTCCTGCCACGCCAGTGCACAGCTACCCGGATGCCGATTGAGCTTGTCTTGTTGGTGAGACAAAGGAATGGACCCTGCTTCTGTGGCTAAGCTAATATTTTGTTAAATACCTGCTGTGCTTGCGCTTGCCTGTGTTCCTCCTTGCCGTGCTCACGTGTCCTGGCAGGAATCACCGTGGGCTGCGCCACTACTGGGGCCTGCGCGTGCGTGGTCAGCACACCAAGACCACTGGCCGCCGCGGTCGCACTGTCGGTGTGTCCAAGAAGCGATAAAGATCCTCCTAACACCGTCCCATGTGTAGCAACGTGTCGAAGTCTCAACCATCTGAGATGTAATGCATTTTGCCATATGTACCTACTGAGTTCCTGATTGGGTTTTACCACTTAGCCTTCCACTAACAACAAAGGCACCACCTCAGTGAAGGGATATAGCTTGGATCTTGAACTGTGAAGTTGGGTAGGAGGAGCTGGAAATAAATAACCGTAGTTGTCACGTGGTAGGTGTTGTGATAAAAGAAATCGTACTTAAAACCACAGGCTAAAATAGCAGGGGGGGGGGGGGGCTTCAAGAGCGCCGTTCTTGAAGATGGCTCTTTTGGAAAAAATGCGGGTTCCCAGCACGATTTTGCGAGGTGCGTTTTTGGGCAGCTGAACAATGATAGAAACGCATTGGCGCCGATTTGACGCCAGGGCCCAAAATTGGTTTTAGGCCACTCTTTGAAATCAGAGTAGGAAAAAAAAAATACCCTGACGGTCAGAGCTAAAACAATTATAAGTCTGATATGGCAGGGTAAAAAGATTCGAAGTCTTTGCTTTAAGTGTAGAACTCTTTGCACCCTTTCTAGCCTTGGCCATTTAAGGAACATTTTACATGAATGAAGTGGGCAGCATTATTGAGGTGTGGAAAGAAGTGTGTAGCGGATTTGCGCGTGCTGGGGGTGATTGGGGGTGCTAACGTAGAAACGAATGATTACTAGAGGTGGAAACCTAGAACAAATACTAGTTGGTTGTACTCACTAGAAGCATACCTCAGTCTAGCCTATAACTTCTACATAGATAATATGTATAAGTTGACACACCCCCTAGGCTAGACAAGGGGTGAAACTAAACAAGAAGCAAACAGCTCAGGGCGGCACTACTAGTCCAACCACTGAGGCAGGGGTCTGGAGACCAGTCAGCAAGAATACAACCAAAACTGAAGCAAGCCAGGGTGGCACTACTAGTCCAGCCACTGGAGGTAAGGCCACAAGGCCAGTCTGACAAGCATATATAATAGAGAGTACACAATCAGGATCCTAACAGGGGAGCAGCTATAGGAACAAGACCAAGCTGTACACAGTGCCGCTGATGATCTTTAGGCGCAAGCGCCTTAGTAAAGATATCAGCTGTGTTGGCACCTGAGGCCAAGTGAACTACGCGGGCCTGGCGGCGCTGCTGTAGCTCGCGCAGGAGGAAGTACCGCAGCTGGATATGCTTCGCTCTGCCCTCAAGCCGAGGCTCCTGACACAGGAGTATCATGGCCCTGTTGTCAGCGTACAGGACCGGGGCAGAGCTAGGCCACTCACCTAAGTCTGTGAGCAAGAAGGTCAGCCAGCGGAGCTCCTGTGCCGCCATGGCACCAGCGTAGATCTCAGCCTCACAGCTAGACTGAGCCACAGACGACGAGCGAGTGGATCTCCAAGAGATAGCACCCGAACCAAGGCTGAAACAGTAGCCCTGCGACGACCTGAGCGTCTCAGCGTCGTCTGCCCAAGAAGCGTCTGTGTGCCCAGTAAGGACCACTGGCCTGCGTCCTCCTAGCACTAACCCCATGCCTGATGTACTAGCAAGATAACGCAAAACCCTCTTAGCGGCAGACCAGTGCTGAGGTCGGTGTCTGCCTGTAGCCACAAAGCGAGCCAGGATGCTGAGAGGGTATGCGAGATCTGGGCGAGTGCAAGTCATCAGGTACATGAGGCAACCCACCAGCTCTGCGTAGGGGCCACTGGGCTCTACTGGCTCCTCAGGAACGGGAGCAGAGAGCCCATGGTCTACGGGTAGAGGTGTGGGCTGTGCGGAGGAGAACTGAAGACCGAACCTCTGAAGGACCTGACGCACCAAGTGTGACTGGGTCAGAGTGATGGTGCGTGCTGCTCTGTCCCTAGAGATCTGCAGGCCAAGATAGCGACGCAGCTCTCCAAGGTCAGTGCAGGTGTGTCTCTTCAGCAGCTCAGCCTTCACAGAGGCCAGTGCGTCCCTGTCAGGAGTAGCGAAGACCAGGTCGTCTACGTAGACAAGGATGTAGAACGGAGTCTGGCCGGAACGCACAAACAGTGAAGGGTCAGCAGAGGACGGAAAGAACTGCAGGTCTGCTAACGTGGCACGTAGCGTGTCGTGCCACTCGCGGGGAGCCTGACGCAGGCCGTAGACCGGGCGCCTGAGAAGCCACTGGGTCCCAGGAGGGAAGGTACCAGTGAAGCCCTGTGGTCGGCGCAGGTAGACCTGCTCGTGTAGGCTGCCCTGAAGAAAGGCAGTAGAGAAGTCGAGGGAGTGAAGCTCGTAGTCACGCTGTGCTGCTACGTGTAGCAGCGCCCGAAGAGTGGTCATCTTCGGGGTCGGGGCGAAGGTCTGGAAGAAGTCAACCCCCTCGCGCTGACTGAAACCTCTGGCCACGTAGCGCGCCTTGAAGACAGGCGGCTCTCCAGGGGGGCGCTTCACCTTGAAGAGCCACCGACCATCGACTACGTTCACCCCAGGCGGGGGAACTGCGTCGACGTAAGTGCCGGTGGATCTCCAAGATGCCATCTCCTGCTCCATGGCAGCTATCCACTGAGAGGCCCAAGGTCCCGAGGTGGCCTCAGCGTAGGTGCGAGGGGTCGGGATGTCGAAGGCGTCTGGGTCACCCTCAGGGACTAACAGCATGGAGCAGAGATGGGGAGCAGCCTCGGAAAGGAAAGCCAGCTCGTACTGCCTGTCCTCTAGGACGTCACTGCCAAGGGCAGGAGCACCCCCGACGGACAGAGGACGGGCAGGGTCAGAGACCAGAGCGGTAGCGTAGTCAAGGCGGCGGGTAGAGGCGAAGTCAGCGACAGCAGCGACAAGCGCGTCAAGGCGCGAGACAGGAACAGCAGGGTCGGTAACAAGAGAGGCAAGGACCCGAGGGACAAGGGGACGAGCAGCACGGAGGTAGTCAGAGAACGGAGGAGGTGCAACAGCAAGGGACGAGGGAGGAGGGGACGGGAGGAGGGGAGGACGAGACGAGTGGGAACGGAGCAACATAGGGTGGGTGGGCAGGACAGGAGAGACGGGACGAGCACGGGAGGGACGGCGAGCCCAAACGTGAGACGGAGGGGTAGGGTCAGGGGACAGCGGAGGAGACACAGGAGGGGAACGAGGAGGAAGACGGGCCGGAGACGAGTCTGGCGGCGGGAACACAGGACCGTAGACAGGGAGGTCAGGAGGCGGTGGGGGAGACACCGGCGCGCGGTCCGGGGAGGGAAGGCCGAGCAGGCGGAGAGCGGAAACCGGCGGCGACGGCTGCTGTGGCGGCGACGACGGCTGGGCCGGAACTCTCGGACCAGCAGAGGCAGAACGACCGTCGGCAGAACACTCAACAGCAGCACCCCCAGAACCAACACCCCAAGAGCGAGAACCCCCTCCAACACCAGCGGCACCCCCAGAAGCCGCAGGACGAACACCCTCCTCCACACCAGCACCCCCAGGGGCCGAGAGCAGCGGCGGCAGTGGCGGCGACAGCGGCGACGGCTGCGGCGGCGACGGCGACGGCGGCGGCAGCGGGGTCGGCGACTGCGACAGTGGGGGCGGAGGCACTGGGGAAGGGGGACGCGGCAAGGACGGACCGGGGGTACCACCAGAGTCAGCAGACTCCTCAACGGGGACAACCGACGGGAGGGGAGTGACGTGGGAGACACCAGACGGGGCAGGACGAGGCGGGAGAGGGGCAGGGGCTACCGGGGGAGAGGGAGCAAGGAAAAGGGGGGGGGCAACTGGGAGACCTCGGTGAGGGAAGCGGCGGTAGAAGGAGACGGACTCGTCAAAGGTGACGTCACGAGAGTGGAGGAAGCGGTGAGACGGCGGGTGGTAGAAAAGCCAGTCAGACGAGTCCAGGGGGAAACCGAGGAAGACACAGGGGACAGTGCGGGCAGTGAGCTTGTCCGTGCCAGAGGCACGAACGTGAGCAAGGCAGCCCCAGACGTGGAACGCAGACGCGTCACCGGGGGACCCGGTCCAAAGGAGGGTCGGCGAAACCTGCGGCCGCTGGGAGCGTGGCCACAGGTTAAGCTGGTGAGCCGCGTAGCGAACAGCGAACGGCCACAGAAAATGGGGGGCATCGGCATGGATCATGGAGGTACGGGCGACCTCCATGACCAAGCCGATGCGGCGCTCAGCAACCCCATTCTGCTGTGGCGAGTCCGGCAAGGTGTACGACTGAGTGATGCCCTCCGCACGACAGAACTGTCCAAGCCGACCAGAGGCGAACTCGCCGCCACGGTCGGAGTGGAGACACAACACGGGGAGACCGCGGTGGAGACGCGCAGCTACAACCCACGGGAGAAGAACGTCGGGCACGTCGGCCTTCCGCTCCAGGGGAAACACCGTGGTGTAGCGCGTGTAGTCGTCAACGAGCACAAGGAAGTAGCGCTCACCGCGCGGTCCGGGGACGGGGGCAGGGCCCCAAACGTCCAAGTGCAGGGTCTGAAGGGGGGCAGTAGCAGGACGCAGCGAGGAGGAGTGAGGAGCACGGCGGAGCCGACCCTCGACGCAAGGCGTGCACGGTGGCGCAGTCGAGGGAGGAAGGGCAGGGAGCGACGCGGGGAGACCTAAGACAAGACCGTGCTGGGACATGTGACGCAGACGCGGGAGAGCAGGGTGACCTAAGCGGTGGTGCCAGAGAAGGGAGGGGTGAGTGAGGGACCGACACGAGCAAGCTGCAGCGACCTGGGAGGACGCACCAACCGGGGGGGAAGCGGTGTGTAGGGTAAACAGACCGGACACCGGGTCCCGGGGGAACGTCGCAAGGGGGGAACCTGAGACAGCCTCAGAACAGACAGCGAACCGCTCGTGCCCGGGGAACGTGGTGGTGACGCCGAGGTCCTGGAGACAGCCGACACCAACCAGGTTCCTGGAGAACGAGGGAACGTGGAGGCCAGTAAGGGAGCCCGAGGGAACTGCCGGACAGGGAAGGGACGTAGAACTGCGCGCGACGACCGGACCCGCAGAGGGGTCAGCGAGAGAGACAACAGCAGGTGCAGCAAGCGGCGTGAGCGTGGAACGGTCGCGGAAGAAGCAGGCAGAAGCACCAGAGTCGAGAGTGAAGGACAGCGACGCAGTGGCGGAGGCCGCGGACGGAGCCGGTGCAGCGACTAGACTAGGCAACCTAGGCAGTCCTACGCCTGTCGCAGCAGGGGAAGCTAAGCTACACAAGGGTGAAACACCTAAACTAGAGTACACATGGTAGTAAGATCCATCAACACTAGAAGCGTCAGCATACAAAGCATGCAAAGCAGCACCTATCTGATCCATGTCTA